TTAGGCAAATCAATCTAGTTCAAGTCAACATAGAAGCTCATGAAGATGACAAGTGTTCAAGAAATGGTTATAATTGACAAATCTTACAAGTGGTTCCATGATTGTTCCTACATGTGCTATATCTACATTATCACATAAGTTACAAGTGAGATTCATACAAGTGGTATCTAGCACGTCAAATGGTGGTTCCACAAGTGATCCTCAACTTTAAGCGATCATCAAGTGAAGCAAATTCCCTCACATACAAGAACTCAAGATTATCAAGTGGATGACACATGTTATGACATAAGGGGAGGTGCCCCACCAATTAGTATCAAGGTCAAAGATTCTACATGAGGTATCTCAAGGGCTACAAGTGGTATCATTCCAACATATGTGGTAGTGTCCATAAAAAATGCAAGATTCAAGTATCAACCATCCTTCCCTAGAGCAACCCTTTGTATCAAGAGATGCACATCTTTTGTGGAAATTGATGACAAAGGAGGAGAGATTAGTACAAAGATATCACGGGAAGTTGGATTTGGACATGGATATGGATAAATAAGGAGCAACATTGAGGAATGAAGAAGGATCAAAATTTTTGGACAAGAGAAGCACACAAGTAGGGGGAGCAAGCTCATGAACTTTGATTGATTGCATTTGATATGTGCATATTCATGTGCTTGCTTGCATTGCATAAGTCTTTAAGTTTGATATGCATGCTTGTGTGTTGTATGCTAGTTATAGAACTTGAATGATGAAATGATAAATAGCATGCATAGGATGGTAGATAGACTTGTGTTTTTACAAGATGTACTAGAACCTTGTTTATAATGTTGATCTCATGGGGTTTCTAGTGTTTATGTTGTTTAGCTACTCATGGTGCTAAGGATGGTGTCAAAATGTGCACTCCGATTAGTATCACGCTTCAAAGGTTATTCTATACACCTTAACATCATTTGGTAGTAATTACTCTCCCATAATTCCAATCTATGTATATGTGCAAGCTTCAAACCAAACACTCTAGCACATATATAGGGAGAGCTAATACTATCAATTCGGGTTTGTGGTACTTGTCCAAAATCATTTACACAAGGTAAAATTGCTTGGGCAAGCAACATGAATTCATTTGAGCTTAATTTCTATATCTTTGTAGAGTTGTCATCAATTACCAAAAAGGGGAAGATTGAAAGGTCCTTGTTTGGTTTTGGTAATTGAGTGACAACCTAGGTGGACTGATTGTGTTTAATGTGAGATACAAAGGTGATTAGTCCACATGTATACTTGTGTGAGCAACTCATGCCATAGAGGTGAAATGGCTTGGATTTGTTGCAAGGCTCACACATGTGATGAAGGAGCTCATTGCATATGAGACATGACATGGAGTCATGTGACTAAGGTGGAGAAGATCAAGATAAGGCTTGGCTTGATGGATCGGTTGCAAGAGTGAAGGGCAAGTCAAGGACTTGGCGCCGATGGACCAAGGCAACGATGAAGAGCAAGTGAGGTCAAGATCGATGAACCAATACGGTCACATGATGATATGAAGTGGATCATATCATTTGTGATATGATTGGTGCATGTGTTGCATCAACATCAAAGGAGATGGAATGGAATACGCAAGGCAAAGGTATATTTCTAGGGCATTTCATTTCACCGGTCATAGGTGTGTAGAGAAGTTTCTTACTGAGTTTAGGATAGATGGCCGTACTATCAAGAGGGGCAAACTTGTTTGCATATCGGTCATCTAGTGTCACTCGAGTGATCTAACTTTGCATCATTGCTAGGATCGAGTGGCATGGTGATTTGAGTGCTAATCCTTTAGAAAAAAATGTTTGTGAAAAGCTAACACACATGCACAAGGTGGTGTATCACTTGGTGGTGTTGGCACATTTGGAAAGGAAAAGAAGTTGGAAGAGAGGAGGAGTTTGCATGAAGCTTGGGTTGCTTTCTGGACAATGGCGGACTGTTTACCCTTTGGTGGTGGATTGTCTGCGGTCCTCGAACGTTGACGATTTAGGGGACATCGAGACGCGACGCTTGCACTGTTCATAGGCTAACAGGTGAACGGCGGATTGTCCGGGCCCTGGGGCGGACTGTCCGTAAACTAATTTCCAAGGAATAGAGGTTTTGGACAGGTTCGGACATGTTCTCGGGTTTGAACGGTGGATTGTCCGCCTATAATTCCTGGACTGTCCGCCATAACCGTTTGAACTCCAACGGCTAGTTTTAGGTGAACGGCGGATTGTCCGGGCCCTAAGGGGTGGACTATCTGGGGTGATAGTTGCTGCTCCTAACGGCTAGTTTTAGCATAAGGACGGACTGTCCGGGCCTATAATGGCGGACTATCCGCAGTTCACTTTTCAGCACGCACCCAAACAGCTAGTTTGAGGCATCCCTCTACAAATAAAGGTGGTGGCCGGCCATTTGGGGTGCTTGGCACCTTGGGGACTTAGTGTCCTTGTGTGAGAGTGCTTGGGAGCCCTCAAACTCACTTGTGATTAGTGCTAATCATATCCGCTAAGTGAGAGAGTGATTCTAGTGCGGTGCATGAGAGATTGCAAGTGTTGGCACTAGGTGATCGAGTTGCAAACCGGTGGTGCTTGTTACCCTTGGAGGTTGCCACCTCCTAGATGGCTTGTTGGTGGTCACCATTGAAGCACGCAAAGAAGATTGTGCAGTGCTCTGGAGAAAGATTTCTAAGGGGTATTGTGCTCACCCCATGTGAGCCACGAAGAGCAACTTTAGTAGAGGGAGACACAAAGAGCGACAAGTGGTCCGACCGGGTCAAAGTGCTAGAGCTTGTGGTAAGCACTCCACGTGGGAGAGTGTGACTTGTGGGTCACCACTAGCAAGAGGACCGGTAGCAACCTTGAAGCTTGTCTCAATGGGGACAAGCTTGGTAGCAACCAAGTGAACCTCGAGGTAAAAAATCACCGTGTCATCATCTTGTCGTTGGTTTGTGATCCCCATACACAAGCTTGTATTTACATATTCATACATTGTGCTTGTTGTGTAGTTGCTCTTGTATTTAGTTAGTTTGTGTAGCTTGCTAATTACCTTCTTGCTTGAGTAGCATAAAAGTAGCTACCTTGTGCAACTAGCTTACTTTTGTAGTAAATTAGTTGCCTTGCTTAGTTTGTGTTGCTAAGTAAATTGGGCTCTCTAATTTATCTTGTGTAGCCTTGTTATTGGGCATTACTAGTGAACTTAGGTGGCTTTGTGCTTTTGCTTACTAGTATGTGTAGGAGCTCTCCGGTTGCTTGAGTACTAGTTGCATAGGTTTGTGTGACCTTGCTACTAGAATTGTTTAGGTGAGCTCTATCTAGCCCGGAACCTTTGTTGTCTAATTAAGATCTTTATAAGGTGCTTGTGAACTTAGATAGAGGGGTGTAGTCTTGGCTAAACCGATAGTTTTAATTCCGCATTTATTTCGATTAGCCCGCGCGATTAATGTCAGAAAGGATTATTCACCCCCCCCCTAGTCTGCCATCTCGACCCTACACCCTCCCTCCTCCTCACGATGACCTTTGGTGCGGCTTCCTTGACAAGGCCCCTTGGGTCAGCAGTGGCTCCTCGCTCCAACCCCTCTTCCCTCTACGAACCCATCCCTGGCAAACCCCTTCCCCATGAGACCCTCCACCCAGTCGGGCTCGGCGATGTCTCTCTACATCAATGGCGCAGATGCAACGACTGTAGAGAAACATCGCGAGGATCTCGTTCCCCACACTAGCACAGCTCCCCTTCCCATTCCTTCTCCGGTGACCGGCCATAGCTTAGATGATTAGGTTACTATGAATATGAGTGTTGGAAGAGAATGATGAGCGGATCTTGTGTGTCAGTGTTTACCGGAATAGATTTAAGGGTCGCTATGCATATGGGTGTTGGAAGAGAATGACGAGTGGGCCTCGTGTGTCAGTGTTTATCGGAATAGATTTGAGAGCTCCTACGCATATGGGTGTTGGAAGAGAATGATGAGTGGATCTCGTGTGTCGGTGTTTACCCGAATAGATTTGAGGGCTGCTATGCATATGGGTGTTGGAAGAGAATGACGTGTGGATCTCATGTATCAGTGTTTATCGGAATAAATTTGAGGGCTGCTATGCTAGAGTAGATGAAAAATAATTAGACCAATCAAAAATGGGAGGAGTCCTCAAATAAAAAAAATAGAGACCATGATTTGAGGGCTTTTATTGGAGTTGCTCTTAATGCCAATAGCGCATTGCATCGACTTGAGATTCCATAGCCTTATAATAGAAACAAATCTAAGAGCACAAATTTGTGTTTTTGAATCTGTGTATAAAAGTTAAGTATATGATTAAAGGTATACAAGGAACTGACCACAACGATCATAAATGAATTTATACTTGTGATCCTATAAAGTACCCTACTAAGATTAGATAAATTTTACATAATTATTTTATCCAACCTGTAGATGTTCAAATTAGTTGCATTCTACTTTCTCCGTTCCAAATTATAAGACGTTTGATTTTTTTGACACAAAGTTTGACTATTCGTCTTATTCAAAAATTTATATAAAATATCACTTCTTTTTTCATAGCTTGCTTTATTAATAAAAGTTTTTCAAGAGTGACTTAAATTTAACTATGTTTGTATAAAATTTTTGAATAAAATGAGTGGTCAAACTTGGGGTAAAAAAAAGTTAAATGTCTTATAATTTAGGACTTTTGTACGTAGACGTCTTAAACGTGTTTGGTACCGAGGCAACATGGCGTGAATCTCAAGTGGAAAGAAAGATTAGACGCAGCACACAGTCAATCAAGCAAGCCACAGTGAGAGTGACAAACAAAACAAAGAAGTGTGCAACTTGTTGGCGCCAAGCAGAGTTGTTCGACGAGTGCCGCGCGCTAACGTGTTCTTCGTTGTGCTTTGTTTTGCCTTAAAAACATCATCAGGGAAAAAATCCCTCCTAGCTGACCAACTGATTACAAGAGAGAGCTTGACAAAATTAAATTAACACCGGCCGACAAGGGAAAATAATCAGCCATGGATGGATCCTTCTAATCATTGACGGAGGTTCCGGCGGCGACGGTTTTCTTGGGCGGCTGCTGCTGGATGACGAGGATGGAGACCTTGGACGCGAACTCCGCGGAGGCGAGCATGTCCCCCAGCACACCCAGCTCCGGGAACTCGCTCCACTCCGACAGCCCGCTGGTGAGCGCCGTCGACCCCTCCGGGTCACCTTCGCCCTCCCCGCCACGCCGCCCCACGATGAGCAGGTCGAACTTCTCGCTCATGGCGCGCACCACCGACGCGGTGCCCTCCGCGTCCTCCACCGTCTTCTCCACGTACACCACCCGCTCGTTGTCCCTGTGCCTAGCCCAGAACTCCTGCAGCAGCTCCTCGTCCCGCGCCTCGTCTTGCCCGCCCATCCCGACCCAGTTCCGGAGCTTGAACCGCACCACCGTCAGCGACATGGTCCCGGCCTCCGGCATCCGCGCCGCGTACGCCAGCGCTTCGCGGTCGTCGGCGCCGCCCACGAAGTAGAGCGCCGCCCGCTGGAGCAGGCTGTTGGCGGCGGTGGCGCACGCCGACCCGGACGCGAGGCCGTGGTCCACGAGGATGGCGACGGAGCAGGGCGCGTACTGCAGCACGCTACGGTTGATGGAGCGGATGGCGTTGTTCGCCGTGCTCCGCGCGCCGTCGGAGGACTTGTGGAAGGGGAGCAGGATGAGGTTGGCCTTCCGGCTGTGCGCCAGCGAGCACACGTCGCGGTGCATCGAGCTGAAGGGCGCCTGCGCCACGTACGGGCTCACCGTCACCGCCCCCGGGGCCGCCTGCTGCTCGAAGTACCGGAACGCGTTCACGATGCGGTCCGACGGCGTCGGGTTGCCGCCGCTGTTGGACGACCTCGTGCTCTTCCGGTGGGGCTTCAGCACGGACGCGGCGCGGCCGACGAGCTCCGTGAGGTGGAGCACGATGAGCGACATGGGCGAGTCGCGGGAGGAACCCGACGCCTCCAGCAGGTCGATCAGCGGCGCCGCGTGGTCCTCGCTGTAGAGGCAGGTGAGCACGCGGAGGTCGGCGCTCAGCCGCGCGTGCTCCAGCGACCGCCGCTTCGCCCGCGCGAACTGCCCCGACGGGTCGTACAGCAGCTTGATCAGCGGCGTGGACACGGCGGTGATGAGCACCATGGACATGGTGAGCGTCGAGTAGTGCTCCGCCGTGGCCTTCATGGTGTCGCCCCAGTTGTTGATGGCGGCCACCTCCACGATGCCCCGGATGTTGAGCATGAGCGCCAGCACGATGGCGTCCCGGAACGGCATGGTGAAGAAGAGCCCCGCGGCGACGCAGCCGACGAGCTTGCCGGAGACGCAGAGCGCCACGAACAGCTCCAGCGCGCCCCACTTCGACGCCTCGGACTTGGTGAACTCGGCGAGGTCGTTTCGGTAGCCGGAGAGCGCCATGTAGACGGGCAGGAAGAGCGCGATGAAGAAGGAGTCGAGGCGCTCCGTCATGGTGGCGCCGATGGGCATGCCGCCGGGGAGCGCCAGCCCCAGCATCATGGGCCCGATCATGTACTTGAACCCGATGGCGTCCGTCACCAGCGCCGACAGCAGCGCGGCGATGACCACCACCACGAAGGAGCCCTCGGAGAGGAGCGCCCCCGTCGAGGAGCGCCATGTAGACGAAGCCGACGAAGAGCACGAACGCGATGAAGGAGGCGAGGATCTTGGCCGTGAACGCCGGCGACTTGGCATCGCCGATGAGGATGACCGCGGCGGTGCAGGCTCGGATGAACCAGGAGGTGACGTCGGTGATGAGCGACGCCGTGAGCGCGATGCGGCCGAGGTCGGTGTTGAGGAGGTCGAGGTCGGAGAGCGCGTCGGCGATGACGGGGAACGAGGAGAGAGAGAGGCGGACAGCGAGCTCGGTGACGAGCGAGGAGCCCTGTAGGTCATCGGGCAGCGTGGGCTGGAGCGCGTGGAAGACGGGCAGGGTGACGGCGAGCGGGACGACGGCGCCCATGATGCCGACGGCGACGGCGCGGCCGCTGGGGCGGCGGAGGAGGCTGAGGTCGGTCTTGACGCCCATGGAGAAGAGGAAGAGGATGAGCGCCACCAGGGACACGCTCTCGAGGATGTACGTGCCGCGCTCGGAGAAGAGCACGTCGCGGAAGGACGCGCTGCGGCCCAGCACGGTGGGGCCTAAGAAGATGCCGACGAGCATGTGGGTGACGAAGCGCGACTGGCCGAGCCGGCGGAGCACGAGGTGGGCGGCCGCGGAGAGGACAAGGATGACGGAGACCTGGACGAGGAGCAGCGGCAGGGAGAAGCGCAGCGGCTGGTCGCCCAGGAACATGCCCTGCGAGTTCACCAGGTTGTTATCGTAGCACGCCGCCGCCAGCGGCTTCACCGTCGGCTCCAGCGCCCGCGACGACAGGTTCGCCACCGCCGTCATCTCGCTCTCCGGCGGCCTCTCTGCTAGAATGCGATGCTAATTAAGTGATGATCTGTCAGCTACTACCTAGGCTGCACCATTGCATTGGTTGCTGCCATTTGCCTGGAATTGGATCGATCGAGCTGCTCTTGTGTTTCTGGGCAATGGTTGCTCTGCATGGGTGGCATCAATTCAGTGTGGCTGTGAGACACTGAAGCCTGAAGGGGGCTTTTGATTTTGGCTATTTTTAGTTGTGGATGGGAGAGACTAGACGGTGACGACATAGGAATTGAACGCCGCTTTATTGGGGGCAAAACATTGGTCCAAAAATAGAGACGAAGATAGCTGTAACATTTGAAAAGAACCAATTTAAACCGGATTGAATTTTACGGTAGCTGATGGTTTCTGCAATTGATAAGCCGACTGAGGCTGATTTGTTGTTAGAGAAAAAATAGCTGATAAGTTCAAGCGAACGGGGGCCTTGCAGTTCGCTTGATGTTGGGTAACATCAACATCAATGGCGCATCCGTCCCAGGCTCGTAAATGGACGTGGTCGGAGAAGAAACATGCCGGCGGAGGGCGATGAGACGTGCTTGCGCCAGGGTCGTTGGCGTCGCGCAAACGGGCTACTTTAGTGCGTTCCCCCCAGGGCTCGTGGACAAAAAGTTTCGGGTTCAAGTAATTGTGCTTGGGCCTCTATTTGGCTCAGGAGAGAACGCTCTAGCGTCCGCGAGGAGGTTGAGCCCGGCCGGTTAGAGCTAGTAAGGCCCAGTTTTGGAATGCGAGATTAGGACACACTTGCGTTGGAGTTTTTTCAACAAAACAGATGATTGATAGAAATGTTAGCAGCATCGCAGACACGTGCATCCAAAAAAGGGTGGCTAGCACCATCAATACTAATCTGGTCTCGTTTGCAGCAGAATTGTTGTTGCAATCTCAACACCCGGACGACCACACCTCTGCAGTCGCTGGTGATTAAGCACATAATAAGGCGCTCAGACCAAGCAGTTGAGCAGATTTGTTCTTCGGAGAAGTTGGTGTACAGGCTGGTTCGGATGCTACGCTCAGAGGATCTTGATGTAGGTATCAAGGAAAACATTGCAGAAATTGTCGCCAAGCTTGCTTGCAAGCTGCGCCTAGCAGACATACCTGGAGCAGCCCACTGCATATCATCCCTACTCGATCCTCGTTTCGCGAAAGAGGCAGCACAAACATCAGGCCGCAACTTCATTGGCATCGACTGGCGGACCCTTGTTCATGGACTTGTGATTCTTGGTGAGCTTGCCTCGGACTCGGAGAATTGCAGAGAGATCCACAGCACCATAGCACCAGTTAGCAATGGACTACGTATGGTCATCAAGGATGATGCAACGACAGTTCAGATAGTCAGGGAATCCTTACGTGTGGTGGCGAAGCTTACCAGAGGGACAGGTGAGTGCAGCACGAAATTATGCCATGAATTAGGATTAACTGTTAAGTAATCTGCTGCATCTTGTGCGCAAACAAGCAAAGTAGAAGCAAGACGAGGAAGCGGAGCTGTCGTAGAAGCAGTAGCTTCCCCCGACAATATACAATACAACAGTAGCGACCATGAATAAAAAAGCCTCTAGTTTACAACGAGTTGGCAGCTTTTCCCGGGCCGGAGAACTACTTAAAAGTTTGATTGGTCGCCTTTCTTGGATATGTGTTCAATTTAGTACAATACAAACTACAACTAGATCAAAAGGCGCCGAACGACTCACCTACCGCATTGTAGCCACAGCAGGGGTAGACGTCAAAGTCAGCACTACTGTCACATCTAGTCACTGTAGCAACATGTTAGCCTGATATGTCTGTGTACTAGGATTAGACGGGTAGAGTTGTATATATAGTTTGCCACTGCAACTCAATAAAGAGAGCGAGTTTAGTTTTGTCATCTTCTCTACAGAGCTCCAGCCAACGCTGGTGCTTGTGTTGTGTGTATGTGTGCTCTGTTCTCCCTCCCTTCTTCTATCTATATCCATAGTGTGTGCTCGGCAACGATAGTGCGTGGTCGACAACGCTGGTGAGTGGTCGGCTCACTCGTGCCGGAGATTCAGGGAGCCAACAAGTGGTATCGGAGCCGTACAAGCACCGTCACCAGACTAACCGCTGACGATGATAGACGGTTTGGAGATGGCCAACAGCAGCGGCGCTGCTGTGGCTGCCCAGCCACGACAGAAGATCGTTGTGCGCACGGTGCGAGAGGTCAGCGGCACCAGTTGGCTGACGCTGACTCGCACCAACTATGGCAAGTGGTCGGTGACCATGAAGGTCGCTCAGAGCCCAATGGCTCTGGAATGCTGTTGACAATGGCACCGACAACGAAGAAGACGACATGTCAACATTGGAGGCTATCCTCGCTGCTGTGCCAGCAGAGTATAGGGAGTCGTTGGGGGCGAAGAGCTCTGCTAAGGAGGTGTGGGAGGCCATTGCGGCGATGCGCGTCGGTTCCGACAGCGCAAAGAAGGTGACGGCCCAGCTGCTGAAGCAGGAATACGCCGACCTCAAGTTCAAGGGTGGTGAATCGGTGGAGGACTTCTCCCTCCGCCTGCATATGCTCATCAGCAAGCTAAGGAGCCACGTCGTCACCATTGACGAAGAAGAGGCGGTTTTCAAGTACCTTCACTCCGTGTCGTCAAAGTACATCCAGATCGCTCTCTCCATAGAGACGATGCTGGACTTGTCCACCCTCACCATTGCGGATGTGATAGGCCGTCTGTGGGCGGTGGACGAGCGCATGGAGCATGCGACAGCAATGAAGGACAGCGGCAAGTTACTGCTGACAGAGGAGGAGTGGGCTGCCCGGAGGAACTCCGGGGTAGCCTCTTCCATCCGCGGTGACGATGGCAAGCGCCGCGGCAAGGCTTCTTTGGAGAAGAAGAAGAAAGTCGACCCCAACGTCTGTCGACGCTGTGGGAAGATGGGCCATTGGGTAAGGGAGTGCCCAAATCGCAAGCAGGAGAAGAAGGCTGAGGCTCATCTGGCGCAAGCTGATGCCACTTTCCTAATGGCGACATTCTGTGCACTGCACGACGTTGAGGCCAAGGAGAAGGAAGAGGTAAAGGCGGTGAAAGGGCCTGGGAAGACTCTGAAAGCTGTCTACCTCGACGAACCGTGCGCCCAAGTCCACCTCGGACGTGTGGGCGGCGAGCAGAAGCAGCGGTGGTACCTGGACTTCAAGGCAGCCTTCTCCGAGCACGACGACGACATGACCGGCGCGGTGAAGTTCGGTGACGGCTCATGGGTGGCGATCCGAGGGGGTGGCACCATCATCTTTAGGTGCCAGAACGGCGAGCACCGCGCACTAACGGATGTATATTACATCCCGCAGCTACGTTCAAGCATCATCAGCATTGGCCATCTAGATGAGCGCGGTAGCGAGGTACTGATCAAGGATGGCATCCTCAGGATCAGGGACCGGGAGCAGCGCCTTCTTGCCAAGGTGAAGAGGTCTCGAAACTGGCTGTACCTGCTCGACTTGAAGGTGGAGCAACCGGTGTGCCTGCTAGCACGGCACACAAAGGAGCCGTGGCTGTGGCATGTCCGGTTCAGCTATCTCAGCTTCGACATGCTTGGTCGGCTGGATAAGATGGTCCAAGGGCTCCCCCACATCGAGCACGGAGACGAGCTATGTGACAGCTGCCTGGTCGAAAAGCAGAGGAGGCTGCCGTTCCCAAAGGCGACCAAGTATCGCGCGGTGGATGCTCTCGAGCTCATCCACGACGATCTCTGTGGACCAATCACGCTAGCCACAAACGGTGGTCGGCGCTACTTCCTCCTGCTCGTGGATGATTGCAGTCGCTACATGTGGCTGCAACTCCTGACGAGCAAGGACGAAGCGGCGGCGGCGATCAAGAAGTTCAAGGCGCACGCGGAGGCGGAGAACAGAAAGAAGCTGTGCATGCTAAGGACTGATTGAGGCGGTGAATTCACTTCGGTAGAGTTCGCTGCGTACTACGCGGATCAAGGTGTAGTGCGACACCACACCGCGCCGTACTCGCCGCAGCAGAATGGAGTGGTGGAGCGGCGGAAGCAGACGGTGGTCGGCATGGCTCGATCCATGATGAAGGCAAAGGGCATGCCGGCAAGGTTCTAGGGTGAGGCGGTGACCACGACGGTGTTCGTCCTCAACCACGCGTCCACCAAGGCCCTAAAGGGCAAGACGTCATTCGAAGCTTGGTATGGGCGCAAGCTGAGCGTGTCCTTCCTCTGGACATTTGGCTACATCGGCCATGTCAGAAAGACAAAGCCGGTCCTCACCAAGCTGGAGGACAGGAGCACACCGATGGTGTTCCTGGACTATGCGGAAGGTACCAAGGCGTACTGACTCTATGACCCATGCGGAGGCAAGGTGGTTGTCTCGCGTGATGTCGTGTTTGACGAGAAGGCGGCCTGGGACTAGAATAGTCTGGGCACAGGGGAAGCTGGCGGCTTCACCAGTACCTTCATCGTCGAGCACTTGGTCATCCATGGGAGTGGAGACGCTGGAGAGGAGATGCCAAGCACTCCAGCAATAGAGCCGAGCACTCCTGGGGCGGTGCCGAGCACTTCGGGTGGGGTGCCGAGCACTCCAGGAGTGGAGCCAAGCGGTCCTACAGTGGTGTCAACCACTCTAGGACAGATGCCGAACACTCCCATGGTGGAGCCGAGAGGTCTTTGTAGTGGTGCCGACCACTCCAAGACTAGTGTCAAGCACTCCTGCAGTGGTGCCAACCACTCCAAGAGTGGTGACGAGCACTCTAGGAGGGATGCCGAGCACTCCAGGTGATGTGTCGACCACTCCGGCGGAACAGGGAACTCCATTGACGCCGATCGAGTTTGCCTCACCTCCAAGTGACATCACTGAGTTCGTGGATGCCTTCCACGAAGGTGAGAAGGTGCGGTTCCACAGGCTAGACAACATCGTCGGCGGTAAAGGGCCCTTAGGCCTGGTGGGACAGCTTCTAAATGACCCAGAGCTGCTCCTTGTCAGTGCAGAGGAACCACCCACGTTCGCACTGGCCAAGCGCGATACACATTGGCGACGGGCGATGCTGGAGGAGATGAAGGCGATCGAGGAAAATGAGACTTGGAAGCTCGTCGATCCACCTCCAGGATGTCGTCCGATCGGCTTGAAGTAGGTGTACAAGGTCAAGCAAGACGAGCGTGGCACCATTATTAAGCACAAGGCGTGCCTTGTCGCCCGAGGCTTTGTCCAGCGTGAGGGCATCGACTTCAAGGAAGTCTTTACGCCGGTAGCGCGCATGGAGTCTGTCCGTTTGCTACTGGCTTTGGCAGCAACAAAGGACTAGCGCGTCCATCACCTGGACGTAAAATCGGCCTTCCTCAACGGTGAACTAGCGGAGACAGTCCTGTCAGACAACCTCTGGGTTTCTCCGTCAAGGGAGCAGAGCACAGGGTGCTCTGACTGCGCAAGGCGCTCTACGGGCTGCGGCAAACCCCACGAGCGTGGAACGCCAAGCTTGATGCCACGCTGGGCGAGCTTGGGTTCACGAGGTGCGCAACCGAGCACGCGTTCTACACATGGCGGCGGGGGAAGGAGGTGCTCGTCGTCGGCGTGTATGTGGACGACTTGATCATCATCGGCGCACGTACAGAGGACATCGACAGCTTCAAGCGTGAGATGGCAGCTCATTTTCAAATGAGCGATCTCGGCGTGCTCTCCTACTATCTCGGCATCAAGGTGAGATAGGGGAAGGAGGCGCTCACGCTCGGTCAGAGCTCATACGCCTCGAAGCTGTTGGAGCGGAGCGGCATGGCTGAGTGCAAGCCGTGCATGACTCCGATGGAGAAGCGACTGAAACTGACGAAGGCTAGTACCACGGCGAAGGTAGATGCAACATTCTACGGGAGCATCATCGGCGGTCTGCGATACCTAGTCCACACAAGGTCAGACATTGCGTTCGCCGTGGGCTACGTTAGTCGCTTCATGGAGGATTCCAGAGAGGATCACTGGGCTGCGGTGAAGCGGCTGCTGCGCTACATCAAGGAGACGGTGGATCAGGGGATCATCTTCCTCAAGACCAACAGAAGTAGGTTGCAGCTCACTGTATTTAGCAATGCAGACATGGCGGGGGACATCGACGGACGACGGAGCACCTTTGGCGTACTCGTTTTTCTTGGGTTAGCTCCAATCTCATGGCTGTTACTGAAACAGAAGGTGGTGGCGCTGTCTACATGCGAGGCAGAGTACTTGGCGGCTGCCACAGCGGCGTGCCAAGTTGTGTGGCTGCGCCAGCTGCTGGGCGAGCTGACCGGTGTGGAAGCTCACCCACCAGCAATGATGGTGGACAACCAGCCCGCCATCGCCCTCGTGAAGAATCCGGTTCTCCATGACCGGAGCAAGCACATCGACGTCAAGTTCCACTTCCTCAGGGACTGTGTCGATGGAGGGCAGATCGTCATCGAGATCGTCGAAACTGGTCGGCAACTCGCGGACGTCCTCACCAAGCCGCTCGGCCGTCTTCGACTCACGGAGCTGAAGAAGATGATCGGCATGGAGGGGGTTCTAGGGTTAGCAGCAGGATTAGGGGAAGAATTGCTAAATAATCTGCTGCTTTCTGGTGTAAACGCACGGCAGGGGAAGGCGGTGCCGAACAGGCTCCCTGCTGTGGTACCGTAGCTGTTGCAGGGGCAGACGCCGAATGGCTCACCTGCCGCACTGTAGCCACAGCAGGAGCAGACACCAAAGTCAGACCTGCTGTCACATCTAGTCACTGTAGCAGCATGGTAGCCTAACATATCTGTGTACTAGGATTAGATGGGTAGAGTTGTATATATAGTTTGCCATTACAACTCAGTAAAGAGAGCGAGTTCAGTTTTGCCATCTCCTTTACAGAGCTCTGGCCAAAGCTGGTGCTTGTGCTGTGTATATGTGTGCTCTGTTCTCCCTCTCTTCTTCTATCTCTATCCATAGTGTATGCTCGGTAACGATAATGCGTGGTCGGCAACGCTGGTGAGTGGTCGGCTCACCCGTACCGAAAATCCAGGGGCCAACATTAGCAACAAAATATGGCAGGACAGCTGAAAACATACTTTGGATCTTGAGCAACAGTAGCTACCGCGACATGAGAATGCTAGCTGTCGAGATCCTCTCGAGGCTAACTTTGGATGCAACAAGAATGATCCAGTTTACTGCCGACCTGCGACGCCTACTCCTTGATCCTCAGGACAGCCCACTCAGGATTGAGGCTGGGAAAGCACTGATCGCCCGTGGAGACGAATTTTCAGACATTCAGCAGCTGGTCACAATCATGACTGATGAATACAGTAAGGAGTACAGGGCGGTGATTGCAGAAATTTGTGCCAAGTCCACAGCAGATCAGGATAGGATCAATCGCCTGAGCTCAGTAGCCAGTGCACTGTCCTCGGTACGTGCATATAAAATTTTGTTTTCACTGAATATTGTACTACAACAAGAATGTGCTACTATATATTATGCAAATATTCATGTTCACCTTTACTGTTGCAGGTACTTAAAGCCATAGTGACTGAAGCTACAAACCTTACCGAGCTTGTCAAGAGGAACAGCAAGTTTCTCGCGTCATTCTTAGGCCTCGCAGTGCAGATAAGTGAGAAGCTTGCGACCGCAGAGGCTTTTGCGGATGCGGTCACAGGGCTTCCAATGGGGAACAATACTATTTTTGCAGAGACGCTGAGCAGGATTATTGAGATGACGAAAGACCGTAGAAGCGAGGATGAAGCCTGCCTGGCGATCATGAAGTCTGCGACTAAGCTAGTTACGTGGATGATGGAAATCGACACCATCAGCCCCGGTTATTACATAGACTACTTCCGGCGGGAGAACATTGTTCAGAGACCGGAGTACGCCGGGTGGGCCATGGTTCACCTTGAAAGGTAAGTGGTTATGACCGGCGGTGCTGATGAGAAGGAAGGCTATGTGACGCTTCAGACGCTTGTGGAAACAGCCAAGAACAAGTTGGTTCCACAGCAGCCGCCGCCGCCGCCGCCGCTGCAGCAGCAGAGTTAGAATGCAAACCAAACCTATGGGCGGCAGAGGGAAGTTCAGCTCTTGTCATGTACTCATGTCGTTGTTCTGTTCCCTTGTGTGTTTTTCTTCAGATCAATGTATTGAATAACTTGTCAACAAACATTGTGGTTTTCTTTTCTTATGAAACTTGGCAGAGTCTGTAATAATCGTGGTCAGTTTGATGTATGTTCATGGAGAGGACTCAAGCCAGAACTATTTCTATTATCTAAATATAATAAATCTTAGTGGAAGAAGTCTGTTCCCTACTATGCAACGGATGAAACATGGCAGATGCAGCGTAGATGAGGTTTGAAACGTCAATCCATTGCCATGTGAGCAGCGGTGGGAAAATGTGGGTCTGGGCTGGAAACCCTAGCGTAAGACCGCCGCCGCCGCCACCAGACTTGACGGTGCCCCCACCCCACCTCCTCCCCCCGCCCCAACCCGACATGCATATCCCATAAGCCAAACACAAGTCACGCCGTTCTTCCTGCACGCAAACAACAGGAGCATGCAACACAGTAGGATGCACGCCCGTCGTCGGCTGGCGATCGGAACAATTCTTCAACGAGCTTGCAAAATGAACTAGTAATACACATGGACCGACACGCGGCCTGCAAATAATTCTCGATTGCACATTTACCACCGCCAATGGTACCGATCAATCGACCGGTGGCGCGGCAGGTTCCGCCAATTAAAAAAAAAAACAAATCAAGGTCCAAGCCTCGTGTTCCGGACAGCCAACAACGCGGGGAAGACGTAAAAATATCGCCACCACAGCCAACAACATTGTTTGGGCAATACCGGCGTGCATCATGATCCGCAACTTGATTACATTTTCGACATTTCCGTTTATTTTTACCCCGACCTCCACTTCCAGCCTTCTTCGACGCCTCAAGCCCTTCTTAATTCTTTTGCATCTCCTTTTGACTTGATATCATTTGGTGGATGTATATCGACTTCACGACGAGGAGATTTATTACCCGTGAAAGTTTCATATTCCTCATGTTTATCAACTCTCAGCAGTTCAGCCGCAATTTGTTGGAGAGGTTCTACTAGGTTGGATAAACTAGAATATAAAAAGTCTATCCCTTGGCGGAAGTTCTTGGCCAGCCACGGATAAGATCTTCACGGCTTGTTGCATGATTCTGAAATCTTTTCCGCATTGCCACCTCCATGGGATCCTTAGGCTTTTCATCTACGGGGTTACCTTCCTCATCAAAGGGTGGCATGAGATTCTCCCAGAAACAAGATCTGTTATGATTGTTGGCCTCGCCCTGAAATTGAAAGCTCTAGTTTGGAAAAAAATTGTATAGTACTAACCTAGTTTATCAAGATGTTTATGAGATAGGTCTCCCATCTCTACTCCAAGTGATGAAGCAATGAAAGATCATGACAATGGTGATAGCATGGTGATGATCAAATGCTTGAACTTGAAAAGAAGAAAGATGAAAAACAACTCATATCAAGGCAAAGGTATAAAATATAGGATGTTTGACTTTTGTTTATGAGTGATCAAGACACTTAGTGAGTGTGATCACATTTAGGATAGATAACATCTTATATTAAGAGGAGTGTAACTCAAATACCTTGAATAATGCAAGTGCCACTAGATGCTCTAAGTTGTTGCATGAAATGCATTTAGGATCTTAGTGGAGTGCTATATCCCTTGAAATTATTTCTGAAAATGGCTAACACATGTGTCACAAGGTTTTGGAGGTGTGAGATGGGCATGGTCGGTTTCAACTCCTCTCTCCCTCCCCGCCGGCACTCCAAAGGCGGATCAAACCTTTGGAAAAATGAAATGTCATTTTCTATGAATGGATGCAAAATTCTTGGTGGTTGCACATTTGAGCAAGGGTGAAGAAGTTAGAGTTGAAATGGAGTTGGTCGAAATGATGTTGTCCAAAAAGTATACCGGAATCCATGATTCACTCAATGACAAACCTATTGGAAAACCAATCATTTCCTATGAGTTCATAATCTGTTATGATAGAATTCCATTGTGACACAAAATCATCTGAATCAAGGTGTCCCGGAAACACACTTGTTTAGTCTTTCCCCTCGGGAGTTCATCGAAACGATTATAGGCGGCCCGACCTTCTCGGTCGAGTACCTTTTCCATGATATGCCACAGGCAAAATCTATGAGTCTGGACACTGGTAGAATCGAGCAATAGAGCCATCATGCTCGCATCTTCATTTGTTGTGATTAGATGAGGTGCTAACGCACCCATTGCCTTAAGAAAGGTCTTAAACAACCATACATTTGAATCGATCTTCATTTATAGCTAAGAATGGCCGCTCAAGGGATAACTCTTGCACAGTTTTCATTGACATAGCAACCTTGTGAAATTTCAAGCCCTCCCACTCATCTCCATCATTGATCCATCATCATTGTGAGATTGGGAGAGAATCCAAGTGCATTGCTTGAGTGATTGCATCTAGAGGCACTTGGTACACGAACAAGTCGTCTTTGGATTTCATTGTTTCTCTTGGTGGTTGCCACCACCTTTCCAGTTGGAGCAAATACAAGGATTTGTGCATCTGCAGTTGGTGATTGTTCGTGGTCGCCTTCGGTGAAATGAGGGAGTTGTACCTCCTCTTTGTGCACCGAAAGGTAACTCTAATAACCCACTCGTGTCATTGAGTTATCACTTGTGGGTATTCTTGTGGTGTCCAATCGTGTGGCCTTATGACAATTGAACAAAGTACTCTTTGCTCTCGAACCACCGTAGTAAATGCCTCTTATCTGGCGACACAACGGGACAAGCGTGTTGCCTCAACACGTGAACCTCGGGAGAAATTCGATACTCTCTTCTTTGTCATTCTCCGGTGATTGGCTATATATTATCTTGTGATTGGTTCATTCCATCACATTTGGTATAATCACTCTACTCGATTCATTTACATTCTTGCAAACTAGTTGATACAAGCTCTTTAATGTAATTAGAATTGAGAGCTTGCTTTATTAATACATTCATCTAGTTGAGCTCTTTAGAGTAGCAAGGTTGAGAGCTCTTAGTGAGTAATTACCAGCTAGTTTGCATACGAGTATTCATTGCAACTAGAATTGTTGGATAGGTGGTTGCAAAGATCATAGAACTAGCTTCAAGTTTGCATTACGCAATTTGTCATACTAATCAAATTGTAAAATAGTTGATTTGCAGATTTTAGGCAGGCTATTCACCCCCCTCAAGCCATAATAGGACCATATGTTCTATGCAACTTACTACTAAAGTCAAGAAGGTTTCGACTTTCGGTGTGCTTGTTTCAAGGTGGTCTCTCCCACTCGGCGTCGAGTAGCGACTCGATCGTGATGGTGGCATGATCATCGGCGACCGTCATGTTTCGGGCGGCGATAGCGTGATCGCAGCGACAGCGAGACTTGGTGGCATGGCGGCGGTGGGTGCCAACGCCACGGTGCTCGCCGCATGACGAAGCCTCGCTCCTTCTCCTGCGACACGCCACCCTGGTCGGTCTCGATGGTGCCGCAGCGGGCATTGGTGGCAGCCGATGGGATTAGATTACACGTCGGCGAATACAAGACTAACTTCGAAGGTGATTAGATTAGATCGCGCATCGCCGACCACGCCGATAACGCCACTACTTTACTACTACAAAGAAGCTTCCCGAGCGATCCGTGGCGCGCGTGGCGTTGTGCGTGGACGATCGGGCCCCCGCGATTGGTCGATCAATTCGACCCGGCCAAAGAGGAGTTCGCCGCCTCCGGGTCGTCATGAGCCGCCAAGGAGAGCACCAACACCGAGGTGTCCGTCGCTACAACAGCCCCTCGTGAATTTGAAGCACCGATGGCGACACCGGTTCCCCTGGACGACGAGCTCCTCGAGTCAACAACGCGACTTATCTACGATGTCGCGAGGGCTGAGGGCCGCCACGTACCACGCCACCACAAGCGGGAGCACCTAACGCCGCAGAGGGTTGCACCACCCCGCCGACGCGGCATCCCACACCACGGAAGTCGTCCCGACGTCTCGCACGATTCACCGAGGAGGTGGCGGAAGCGAATGCCGCCATTAATCGCTTGGCCCACCTGATTTGCAAGGTGGTGACCATGAGGCAACCCATGCCAGGGGGGGGTGGATTGCTAAAATAACCGGGCGCACATTCCGATCTCAAGCGGGCGAGGATTAGAGTCCAGTGGTCTAGATTGGAGTTTGCATAGTTTGCCAATCTCATCCGTTTCCATAGGGTGCGCTGACGAAGTTTTTCAAGGAACCGGACTCGATGTCGTTGTTCTGTTCCCTTGTGTGTTTTTCTTCAGCAATCAATGTATTGAAGACTTGTCGATGACAAACATTGTGGTTTTCTTTGAAGGGGACGAAACTTGGCAGAGTCTGTAATAATCGTGGTCAGTTTGATGTTATGTTCATTTATGTAATATCAAGTTTGCCAGAACTATTAGGATTATCTAAATATAATAAATCTTAGTGCTCATTAGAAATCTGTCCTATGTATGGTTAAACTCTCATTCTTCTTAATTACAATGATACGTAAATCTTTTGCGTATTCGAGAAAAAAAAATGTGAGCAGCGGTGCTTCAAATGCAGCATGGGCCTATATTCAATAAAATACAACAGCTCAACTTAACTGCCATCATTGTTATCAAAAGAAAAAACTTATCTGCCATCCGACAAACAAAAAATATTCTACAGTATTTATTTATTTATCAATTGAAGTTTCAATGTCTGCTTTCTTCAAATTAGCATAGGTAGCTGCAGTGCTGAAAACGATGCTCCAAACAAAAATGATAGAGAAGAAACCAAAGGATCGTACCATTTCCAGGGCCAAGGTACTCCGGGTTAGGCTTCAAAATGGAACGCCTGTCTGGCTTTTGGCCCAAGCCCAACAAATAAGATACGGCCCAACAACAGAGCAAGGCATGCATCTCCAGGAGACTAACGTTTTTGTGCTTCTTGATCCACCATCAATGAATGTTTTAAGCTGTGCTTGTTATATTTTTTTTTACTACTAAAATACCAGTGTTACAAATGCATACATGCATGTCCCATATTTTTTTAGAATGCATAACATCCGGTTGCCACCCCACCATACATCACGCAATGATTTGATCATTAAATTTAA